GCGAGGATTTGCAGCTGTCAGAGTCTAAACGAGAAGAGGTGATTGAGGTGTTGCAGCCGAGCCAAGATCAGAGTTGAAGCCGCAATTCCTTTGCAGTCACGACGAGCTACTCGAGGACGAGTGCTTCGACCGGTCGACAAAGCGCTACATAGACATGCATTCGCCCATGGAGGCCAATGCCCACCTACAGTGCCATGCCTCCAATCTGGAGCTGACCACACTAGAGGAGCTCAGCTGTTTGGAACCAAAAATACAAAAGTAAGTGAACCCCCTATTCCTCCATCAGATCTGCTCACCTGCCCCGCCATCTCCCACCTGTACAGAACGCTTCTATTGATCATGCGCGAAATGATTGGTACCGAACGCGACTATGTGCGCTCCTTGTACTACGTAATCGAGAACTATATCGATGAGCTGTTGCGAGAGGACATTCCGCAGCCTTTGCGAGGTCAGCGGAACGTGATCTTTGGCAACATTGAGAAGATCTTCGAGTTTCACAATTCGCACTTCCTTGGCGAACTGGAGCGCTATGAGCGCAATCCGCTCAAGGTGGGCGCCGCCTTCCTGGAAATGGAATCCAAGTTCTATTTGTATGCGCTGTACAACAAGAATAAGCCCAAGAGCGACACGCTGCTGAGCGAATATGGCAGCTCCTTCTTCAAGCCCAAGCAGCTGCAGCTGCAGGACAAGATGGACCTGGCCTCCTACTTGCTGAAGCCCGTCCAGCGCATGGGCAAGTATGCGCTGCTGCTGCAGCAGCTGGTCAAGGCGGTCAAGAGTGTGGAGGGCGCAGCACTGCAAGAGATTGCCGCCGATTGGAGGAGCTGCAGCGTGCCGAGGAGATGGTCAAGTTTCAACTTGCGACAACGCAACGACCTGCTGGCCATGGACTCGCTGCGGGACTGCGATGTTAATGTGAAGGAGCAGGGACGACTGCTGCGACAGAACGAGTTCCTCGTGTGGCAGGGGCGCGGCGGCAAGAAGACGCTGCGACAGGTGTTCCTCTTCGAGGAGCTGGTGCTGTTCAGCAAGGCACGACGTTTCCTCCCCGACCACAAGGTAGGTTTGATCCGCTACAGTCCAGGACATACCTGAAGCTCACTCTCCACTCGCAGAACTTGGACATTTACATATACAAGAACAGCATCAAGACCTCGGACATTGGGCTGACAGCGCACACGGGCGACTCGACGACCAAGTTTGAGATTTGGTTCAGGAAACGCAAGCCGGACGACACTTGGATGCTGCAGTGCATGTCGGAGGACATTAAGAAACGCCTGGACCGAAGAGATATCCAAGCTGCTCTGGAAGCAGGCGAAACGAAATCGAGGTGAGTGAGCTGAACTAGCAGCGCGCTGAGCTCCTGATATCTTAACTATGTCTTCGCAGGACATTCGCCTAGCGGAGATGTCCTCCATGGGCATTGGCAGCAAGCCCTGCCTGGACATACGTCCCAGCAACAATCAGATCAGCGATCGTTCCATACCACTAACACAACTAAACAAGAGTAAGTCGCTGGCTAAGCTGGAGATGCAGCGCTTAACCAATTCCTTTACAGCACCCAGCTGCGCCACGCTAGCCTGGCAAGGGCAGCATGCGACGTCCCAACTCGCTAATCTCGGAGAGCTCGCTCTCCAGCGGCACCAGCACCACGAGCAGCAGCTCCATGAGGCGGCGGCTGCTCCTCCAGCCATGCTTCACACGAGACTGGCCGACATAGCCCTCAATCTGAGCTTCAGCAAACTCTCGAGCAACATCAACAACAGCAGCAGCCCGCTACCTTGGAGCTGATCAATGAGACGCAGGCGCTGAAGCTGAAACAGCAGCAGCGAGCAGCAGGAGAACTCGGCAGCTGCCAGAGGGCAGGCCACGCCCACGCTCACGAGCAGCGGCTCCAACCGAAGCAACAAGCGACAACACAAGCGTTCGACGACAATTGTCAGCCAGCTGTCCATGGGTATAGAGCTTGAATTGTGCTACTTCTTCTAGCTGCCAAGGGTTCCTTTTAGTTGTTGTTTATGTTTGTTTAATGTTTCCAAATCCCATGTATATAAACACACACACACACACCAATCCCCAGTATTACTCTGCTGTATATATGTATATAGACCCCACCTCAACACCTTCCGCCCACCTAACTAGTTGTTGTGCTGCATGCTCTATGTCTATTGCTGGAGAGAGTTTTCAAATGATATACCTGCATAACCCACACTCTTCCTATACTCTATATCTAGAGAGCGGCATACTGTCCGATATGTCCATAACGCCGGATCAGGAGCATGCCCACTTAGCCGCCGAGCAGCTGTCTGGCAACAGAGGCAGCTGGTCCACGACCCTGGCCAGCACCAGCACGAGCACGAACACGAGCAGCTCGACCGTTATACTGCGTCGCTACAAATCGTACGCCCACGCAGCTGAGGCAGCGAGTCCACCCGAGAGCAATAAGTGAAGCAATCTCGAATACCAGCGAGAGAGAGGAAAGGGAAATGCGGACGAGGAGCAAGAGGAGGAGGAGGAGGAGGAGGACTAGAAGAGAGTATACATAGCTTTAGCGAAACGGTTTCATCAGATTCAAATTATCATATACATATACATATATATGCATGCATACTTATTATAATTTTTGTTATTTATTATTTATTTGATTTTAGTTGCGTTAACTTTTTGTCATCAATTTTCATCCTATTGTATTATTATTTGCCCTGGATGCAGTTTTTCTCTTTGTTTTTTTCTTCATATAGAAAATTTGAAATTATTGAATTCAATGTGTCAATGTCAAAATATATTTCATAGCTCTTAATCAACCTTAATCTACGCCTTCAACCCACACACGAAACACACACACACACACACAAATCGAATGGCACAGACAAAGTGCCAGCCGAAAAGGAAAATAGAAAATATAAAAACGAAACATTTATCGAAATCGAAATTCATAACGTACAGTTAGTTAATATATGTAAATTAAGTGCCTATCTTTAAATTATCGTAAAAGAAAACAAAATATACATAAATAATTGCATATCTTTTAATATTTGAATAATGTATACACATAAGCAGAGAATTGAATAAATGTTGCTTCGAATATACAAAAAGAGGCGTCGTCGTTAAGCTGTCAGCAGGAGATCGTTAATCTTATAAGAATGCGCTCAATTAGAACTTCTACTCAGCATGTTGCGCTTGTAATTCTCAACTGCTTATTCTGAACATCACTGCTTTATATACCAGCAGAATTCCCATACCTTACTTCAATATGAAGAAAATCTTTACTGCCCGAACCATCGTGTGGGCCTTTGCCATTTATGGTAGAGGGACGTAATTCTGATCTGTATAAAATTTGATTTTATTTTTATTTTTTTAAATACAAAACTTTTTACTTATACTAGTTAACATAGCAGTCGCTGTTATTGAGCAGCTGCCACTATTATCCGCCGTGCAGTGTTGAGATGAATAACACATTATCGTTCGGCTGCAGCTCGTACTCCAGCTCACCCTAGTTAAGCACAATAGATAAAATGTATATAAATCTGAAGCCCAACATTACTTACCAGAAGCTCCCAGTCCGTATCGTTGATCAGCACCAATATTCCAGGCCGTCTGAAACAGAAGAATCATTATATGAGCCGCACGTGTTACGCTGTCTCTCCTTCTTACACTGTGTCTCCTTGTATGAATAGTTCCGGCCGTTCGGTAAGAATGTTTACGTGCATCCACTTTAGCAAATTCGCAATTGTCCCTGCAATAAACCATTAAACAGCTGCAATAAATTGGAGACGAGAACTTATAGTGCTCACATTTTTGCGTGCCATCCAAGGAGATTTCACGTCGTTTGATATTGCCGAACAGCAGCTCCGCGCCAGCACTAAAAGCACAGTTTGCTTGAATATTGCTAAATATTTATAGCATTTAATGTTACCTGAATTCTAGAATAATTTTTAAATCCGGCTTGTTTTGGTTGCTCATCATCAAGCTGTTATTGTTTTGCTTATTTGTCATTCACAGTGAATGTTGAATTTATAACATTTCGTTAACAGTTTTGTGAACTCATTTTTACGCTGTTTTGCTCAGCGTGCGTTTGCGTTGCTCTTTATTGCGCCGATGACATACGTAACGTAAGAGCTTCAACGGCTTTTCATTTTTGAATTTGAATTGAAATTCCAATCATTTGGCAGATTTCTTATTAACGGCTGACAAAATGTATATCATTTAAAATTCTAACTTAATTTAGAGTAACTGCAACATAAAACCATTATAAAAATGAATTAAGAAAACACCACATATAATATTATTAATTTATTTAGCTTTAAATAGTTAAGGACATTGACATTTTGTTGGCATTTGTAAAATAATTATGTGTGTGTGTGGGAATTTATTTAGTTTGCGCTTTGTGCTCCAATAAAATACAAACATCACAAAAATAAAATAATAAAACTAAACAATTCAATTGCTATTGTGTGTTTAAATATGGTTTTTGTTTAATAACATAGATAAAAGTTGTTCGAAAAAGTTAAATATTTAACTGAAGAAAATAACCCGCTGTTAGGAAACTTTTGCACGCATTTCTCTCTCTCTCTCTGGCTCACTCTTCCACTTTCTCTTACTCTCCTTCCATCTCTGTCTCTGTGTGTGTGTTTGTGTGTGTTAAAAGAACTTAAAATAAATAAATAAACATTTACATACAATAGTTACAAGTTTTTCCATTGTTTGCTTTTGTTTTAGTTTTCTCCTGCTCCGTTTTTCGGTTTATCGCGCGCTCAAATGCAATTACAAATAATAAATAATTATATATTTTATAATTTTATACAATTCGACAAATAAAGCACAAAAATAATATCAAATATCAAGTGTTGCTGCTATCGCTCCATAACGTTTCGAGCGTTTCTCAAATTTTACATAAAAGTTTTGCTTTGTTTTAGGATTTCCTTTGCTGTTTGTTTTTTTGTTTTAGCTAATTCTCGATATCTAATATATGTGTAAGGCATTATTTTGTTTGCATATATATATATATATATAGATATATATATCGTTTAATACATATTCTGATTTTTGATCCATTTTTTTCTCGATTTTTTATGGCTAATTATCGCTGGCACTTGGCCCCAGTTTTTGATCCATTTTGATTTGATTTGATTGGAGTGGGAGGGGCGGGGGGGCGTTCGCGCTTTACATCAGCTTCTGCTTGGCACAGTCGGGGCACAGGATGTCGGGGGCCGTCGGTGATGAAGCCGCGTCCCACCAAGCTGGCCTTGCAGCTGGCACAGACAAAGCAATCGTGATGCCAGTGCCGATCCTCGAACGAAATGAAGCGAGTGCCGCCAATGCCTGTGCAAAAAGAGAGAGAGAGAGAGGGAGAGTTAGCCAACTAGTCTATAGAGCTGCTCAGTTTCTTCGACTCACCTGTAATGGGCTTCACACACGAGGTGCAACGTTTAGCGAACAGCTCGCCAAAGCACTCGGCACAGTAGGGCTTCTCGTCGCGGCTAGTGAACCGCTGCCCGGCCAACGTGATGTTGCAGTGGGTGCACGTGAAGCACTCGCGATGCCACGGTTCATTCTTATAGGTCACGCCCCCAGAGGTGATGACCTATCAAGCCAATCAAGAGAAGATCAATTAGTAGCTGTTCAACTAGGCTCAGTGCACTCGTCGCTGGCTCACATTGTTGCACTTGATGCAGCGCGTGGCAAACTTCTCCTCGTAGCAGCCGGCGCAGTAGATCTCCTGCTCACGCGGTATGAACGACTTCGTGCCAATGGCCATCTTGCAGACGCAGCAGCAGAAGCAGTTCTCGTGCCACTGCCGGGTTTTGTATTCCATTTTCTTGGTGCCTGCAACAGACCAAATCAATTTTCACTCATTGCAACCTTGAACTTTTCGGCTTATCGGTAAATAGACCCAAATTCCAACCAGACACATTCAGGCCGAAGCCATCAAACCAGAAAACCCAATCAGAATTTGGTTTCAATAATAACTGTAGAAAATAATAAATATATAAATGGGAACTAGCGTTATGAGCAGCTGACATGCAACTGTCGAAGAGGCAACCCCTAAGCCCCTACCCCTACAACCTACCCCTACCCCTGCCCTAACCCCCTCACTTTTTCATAACAATTAATGCAAAAATTATTCAAATTTTGCGAGTTTCAAGAGACAAGAGCGAAATATGAACCTCACGAGACATATAAATATATATCTAGTCTTTATATAGTGGCTTTCAGCCCTGATGGTGTGCATAAAAATCTGTTTCGTTTATTTATTGCGTGCTCGAAATTTGTTGCCAAATATAAAGACTGAGCCGAAAAGTTTTACCAAAATCTGGGTTCACTGACTGCGACAGCGCAGCCTAATTGACTCGAATAATGTCAGGGCAGCAATTCTATTGTTCTGCTTTAATTTTGGGCTATATGGAGAAAAGCCATTTCATATGTTGGCAAATTATGGCAGCACAAAAGTTGGCCAAATTGCATGACAAATTTATGACATAAAAGTTAAGTGTCTGAAGACATCATATGTGATAAAGTAAAGAAAGTTAGCTTGGTAGTTATTCGAGCTTACGTATGGAATTTTCTTGGCAAGAAATTCGCCTTCGAATTTCCCTTAAATTAATAACTTATCTGTTAAAATATAGAATTTCCTTTAATAGGAAATTTAATGAGCAGCTCCTTAACATAATGACCTAACAGCTTACATAAAGCTTACATAAAAAATTAAGGGAATTTTTTTTAACATTTCCCTAATTAATTGAATTGCATTAGCTGCGCATCAGCGATGTTATGCTATGTTACACGGGTTTCCCTTAAATGGGAATTTAGTTAACATTTCTAAATGCTTTTGCTCTTCCGCTAAATTAAGTTGGAATTCGGTTTAGATTGATCAATAGTCTACTAATTGGAACACTGCGTTGAGAGAAATGTTCGAATCGAAAAAAAATATATTTCCTAAAAAGACCATCTAAATATATATATAAAAAACATAAACCTTACTTAAACACCCAAAAGTCAATTGGTTATTTAAACATAATTGTAGCAGATTATCATTAACCCATTCAACATCATGTGAGACAAATTTAGCAATTTTCCAATTAGAATAATTCATAAAACGCGATCAACGCCCGTCTAATCGCATCATTTGTATGACAGCCGCTTTCTTTCAGTGTATTTTTTTGGCTGCCACTTACTCATCGCAGACTCAAGCGGACCGCAGATCGCAGCTCGAAAGCTGCGATGACGTTATAGAGAGCTGGGCCACAACACCTCCAGCTAATCCATGGGGGCGTCGAATCTATTCGCTGTCTGTTTTGTGACTTTTACCAATTTGGCCAGCACTCGGGCTAGTTAATGGCCAGTAATATTGATAAATTATGATGTATCGCGGGGATTTAATTAACATAGTTAGTTTATGAGCAGCTGGCGCTGCCCATTTGGGTCCATCATTACCTGCTTTGGTGGCACGGGGATCGCCCAGGCGGCAGTAGTCACCCAGGGAGCAGTAGAAGCTGCGGTTCTCCTCGACGGCGCTGGCATTGGGCAGGAACATGCTCAAGACGGCAATGTCCTCGTTGTTGTCCTTGGCCTTCTTAATGCGATCGGCGCCAATTGTTTTGGTTTGCAAATGCAAACGCGACTTCATGCGCGAGCTCAATACATCAACGTCAGTCATGATTGACAGCTATACCAACTGAGCGTAAGTGCGAGTGTGAGTGAGCTACTTAAATGCAGAGCCAACCAGAGTCAGAAACTTGCAACTGGCCTAATAAGTCACGACTTGGCTTAAACACAGAGTCAACGAGTCTAAGCCAGCTGAGAGATGCCATCAACTGCTCGTTAACTGGGTCAGCTGATCGCCGCTTAAACAGATACCCTAACAATACTCTATAAATTTCAGCCAACGGCTGTCAGCGCGCAAATTTGGCGACGTCGAGTCTCCAGCTTCAAGGCAATGACATCACATTCAAAAATTTGCCTGACCGAGCAACAAGTTTCATTAAAACTTAGAGAATGTTTATAAATAACAAACCGGGCAGCAGCAACGACGACGCTGCCTTTCATAAATCATTAAATAATTAACTTTTTACAAAAGTAAAAACAAAAAACAATAACAAATAAATTGCTTGAGGCAGGAAATTGACAAAAAATAGAGAAGTTTTTGGCCTACAGGAAATCCACTCAGTGAATATATATAAGTATATAGATCCATCTATATATATATATATATATATATATATATATATATATATATATATATATATATATATATATATGGGCAGGTAATTAAGATCTGGCTAATAATTTAGGTGGCATTGCTTGGATTACTAAACCACAGCGCGAGCATTCGTTGGGTTTCCTCAGCAAACACACAAATAATTATAACTAATTGAAGTCGAGTCGCCAAAGATTTCGCCCACGACTTGCCACAGAACGCCCACAACAACACTGAAACATGTAGAGACGCCGCCAATAGCCGCGCTGAGGTCAAGTGCGGATCGGAGGAGGCGACATTGAAATGCTTCAGCTTTAGCCTAGACAGACGGAGCTGCTGCTGCTGCTGCGAACGATTGACTGATTGATTGATTGCCGGCTTGAGACGACGCTTGGCGATTACGTGGCCAAACCGAAATGGAAAGTGTCGCACGCAAACGCGTTCTGCATTTATAAGCAACAACTTTTTCACAGAGCTCAGCTAAAATTTGGTTTTTTCTGCTTTTGCCGTGCAGCTGACATTGCGGGCGGTCGAGCATTCAAATTACGTTTACTCCGATTTTATTCGCAATTTGCTTGCAGTTAACACTCAATCAATGCTTTATAGCAATAAGTGTCAAAGAACAAGCCACTGCCATGAGCTGATCTGGCAACTCTGCTCAATTATTCTTGGCTAATTCGCAGTCAAGCGAGAGAGCAGCCATTCAAAATGACAAACATAAGTAATTTACTACTAACTGTCATTGGCTAATTGAAAACTATAAAGAAACTGCAAATTTCAAGTTCTTAAACTGACGTCTGGCAACGCTGTTAGAATAAAAGTGGCGAAATGGTAGAGCAATAAGTATCAGCTTAAGTGTTTTATGACTAAGTGTCAATTCATCAAAAAATCTATATTTCAAGTGAGAAATAAAGCGTTTTAACTCAAGTCTGGCAACTCTATTTGAACAGAATTAGCCAGCTTAGAGGAAAAATTATAAGAAATAGATTGAGCATAATAATATTGTTACCTAATGGCTTTAACGAATCAAAAGCTCATTCTTAACTAGAGTGGCCAGCTCTGAATTAGAAGTCTGGCAACTCTACTCAGCTTCAAAAGATGACAGATGTGCAAAAAGGACCTTCATAAGAGATAGCTTTACTGCTTGACTTAAAATTGAGAAACAGTAAGTCATATGTACAGCAATTCCTATAAATTTCACATAGCAATCTGGCAACTCTGACACAAATTCAATTTACTCAAGTCTAAATGATGAGGAAATTTAAATTGATATTCATTAAATGGCAGCTCAAACTAAAATTAGGCTAAGAAGAGGTAAGCCAGATGCAATGTTGCCAGACGAACAACTCAGTAAGAGTCTGGCAACTCTCGTCAAATATAGTAAATTAAAAAGTAATAAGAAAATGCATTGATCTTTAAATGAATTTAAATTTAAGTAACGCAAGCAGAGCTGAGTAGTAATCAAGTGATCAGTTGATTTTCCATTAACAGTCTGGCAACTCTCCCTAAACATCAATACCAAACGGCAAATAAAACTCAATCGAAGCCAAGTAGCTCAATTCGAGCTAGGCTAGACCTGAGCTTTATGCCATAAAGCAAACACTTCCCGCTGACCTTTGGCAACGTCTTTAAGCCGGCTAAACATGACAATATCACGATCTGATCTCGCTTGAGACTGTCAAAGATGTCTCTTTGTTTGGCCATTTGACCCGCCTGCACAGATGTCAACGGCTGCAGGGCAAAAGAGGGAAAAAACTACGAGATTTATTAGTTTTTGTCAGCCAAAAAGCTAAAAAGAGAAATTTAAATTGAAATCGAAATTGAAATTTATTGTTGTTGTTGCGGCGGCTTCTCTGATAAGCCCAACAGACAAATGACATTCAATTCATTTGCTTAAGCACCTCTTACGTATGCCATGCATATATATATATATATATATATACATATCGGTTTGAATGATGTAAACACTTGATCAAGGGCTCTGAGAGCGAACGTCTTATTGGGTCAGCTACCTAGCTTGAAATGCTTTTATTTACAGCAACTACAAGCTGGCTGCTCTTCAATTAATTAAGTTCAGGCTTCGTTCATAATTTCAATGCGATTTCATTTTGATTTTGATTTTGATTTCGATTTCATTTCAATTGGCATTCAATTGCAGTGCCAACAATAAATAAAAAAGAAATGCCAGCTCAAGTGGGCTTCGACCTGACTCTTTGCGTGCATATTCATGCTGATTGTTGCCGTTGCTGTTGTGCCTGTCTGTGTGTGTGCACTGGTGTGTGTGTTGCTGCTTTTCATGTTTTCCATTTAGCTCTTTAAATGTGGCACACGTCGATGCTATCGCCGCATTTTTAAATGCAGCCCAAAAAGCAGCTCAAATTCGTTTCCGGTTTTGGTATGCAATTTCTAAGTGGAATCCAATTGGATTCCCGCTAAGTCTGGCTGGTTTCATATTTATTTCATATTGAAAATTGACTGGCGACACCTAGCGATATTACAATATTATGCAATGCCTGTCAAACCTCGTCTCAACTGTGCGTGTGGGTTGTGGAAATATTGCGCATACGCAGCGTGCCACGGCGTGTTCAATATCAGTTGCAAGTTTACGACTCTGCTGGCAGCTGCAGTCGAAATGTTTACAAGAACATTTCCTTAAACAATTAAGGAAGGTGCAAAAATACTTTTTTTCTAGTTTTGTTTGATGTTCTGTTGTTGCAATTCACGTTGTAAATAATTTTAATAGCCGCTCTGCTTATGTCGATTGATAGTGGACATGCAACACGTTGCCTCAATTCAAATACAATTTACACTCGGTTACGTCCGCGGCACTGGCCAAGGCGTTCTGAAAGCCGTTTTGAGACTGAGCACGAGCGCCATAAACAAAAACCCACAACGTAAACAAACAGCCAGCCGTGGTGAGTTCGCGTTGAGTTGTGGTGAGTTTGCGTCTGTTCGAGTTGCGTTCGGCTTAGGTTCGAGTTGCATTCAGATCGAACGAAAACAAGGCTGCAGCTGACTGCAACGTGCCATTTAGGCTCACTTATGAATTATTTTGACAGGCGGAAACTGGTTGCAGCAGATTGACAGTCTGATTGACTGACTCGACTCGATTCGACTCCACTCGACGCGACTCGTCTCGACTGACCAGCTTAAATGTTATGCAGATGCTCGTCAAGTGCCTTGCCAATGCCCCTGACAATGCCGCCACGCCTCTGCGATCGAGGTTAGCCACACGATCGAGGAAGCCAGCCAATGTTGTCTGCATGTGGGAAGCTGGCATCAGTCAGGTAATGCGATATGGAAATTGTCAACTGCTTTGCCACTCTCAAATGCCGCCCAAGTGGGAAATTGCGTGCATAACATGCTCCCATTTATAGTTAGACAGCCACACAGAGCCCTAAAGGCCTTTCTCCTTATACGGCTGACATTTATTATTTGTTTCTCATGTTTGTTTTTCCCCCTCTGATTAATTGCTTTGCTTGGACGGAAATGTTGTGGCAATATGCGTGGGTTTCTGATCAGCTACCAGCATGCGATCTACTACATAGAAATCAATTTAGCTGCAGTTAAATTGACTCTACTACACACATTCTTCTTATCTGCCAATCAATTAAGCAATTAGGCAATCAAACGGTAAATGACTGCAAGTGCAGCAGAGGCAGCAGCTGGAGTGCTGCTTCAAGTGCGGCTGCAAGAGCGAAGAGAGAGCGAGGTGAGGAAAGAGCTGACATCACTGTAGAAAAGTCACTCAAAGTCAACTCTAATGATTGTAATTCTCAAATGGTTTAGGCTGAGAGCAGATGTGTGGAGTTTACTAGGTAAATACTGCTCGTGAGTCGATATGTTGCTATATGTTATGCCCTGTACTCTTTTCAAGTGACTAGTTAGAAAAGCAAGGCAGCCCAGGCTGGCAGACTAGATATACAAATTATCTTATGTGATATACAGCTCAAGTGTATATATAAACAGTGCCTTTGTCAGTCAATCAGTTGACACTAGGTAATTACACTTGACACGGAAAGACCCAAGTCTTATATCATATTTAGTTTAAAAGATTTCTGCTTGCTAAAATCAAGTCTGCTCAACAAGTTTTCATTATATTTTATAATCCACAATTGGCTTAATTTAGCAAATTTCTGTCAGTTGCGCTAAGTACTTCTAGCCACAGTTTTTATTATATTTTTTTATTTTCGAATAAAATACAATAGCTATATAAAACACATTAATTTAATTCCACACGCTTATCAACGATCTTCAATAATAATTCCTCAACACGCTGAGGCAAAAGCTATTTAAAAGCCACAAATCATGCGCAGACAACAACAAAAGCATACAGAAAAAAATAATAATAAAAACAAGTTTCATTACCAAAAAAAAACAGATGAAAATTTAAATATGAATTCTATAAGAAAATATAAACACAAATATCTGATGAGTCAGACACAACGCATTAAACATATGCTACACAATTTGCCACGAATTAACATAGATGACATGGCCGATGGTGATTATTTATATATATTTATCAGATGTATATATATATGCATATATACATCAATAAAGTCTTGTTCGATCAATACCATACGAATATGTTGAGTGGGCGTTGCAATCTAAACAATTTGTGACAGACAGACTTGACAATTATCAACTGAGAGTGCACTGGTGGGGAGTGCACGACTCGGAGATACCCTGAACAATGAATAATGAATAATGTATTTGATGACTAATTCTATAGGAAATGGTCAAATAGCGGAGTTCATTAAAATAGTAAGAATATCAAAAATTTCCTAGAGGAACTACAGATTAATGGAATAACTAGCTATAAAAAGTACTAGAAGAAGGAAAAAGGGAAGAACAATGTATTCTAAGCAACTATAATTACCAAGATGATCAATTTTACGGACAAAGCGACGGGCAGACAGAGAGAGAAGAGGGCAAACCAATAGATGGAGATACAAACATCAAAGTCTAGATCCATACGTTTGTTGATCCATATCAAAAGTATATAATTTCCCTATAGACATCTGCCACTCTTGCTTGCTTCAGTTAATTTCAACAAAGCAAATATACCCCTTTCCAACAGGTAGCAGTGCATAAGAAAGGGTTAATGTTATGCTATGTCCACAACTAAAATTGGCAAATGAGCAAATATCTAATATATATTTGATTAGACAATTAGTTAATGCCTGAATAGGCAAAGCAAACGCGACACCTTTGGCAAACAGAAGGCAGAGAATCAAATGAATAAAGATGTAAATATTTGTATACAGCTAGAGGTATTTAAATGTCATTGCAATTGACAGTGGCAGCGGCAGTCGAGCGTGTGGGCCGCTTTGCTGACATTGATCTCACTAGATATTTATCAGCCAGCTCTCGTAATTGGCAATGTCAACAATGTACTTTCAAGTGAAATGCCATTTTTGGTAACAGCTTCAATTGGCTTAGCACCTGATTGATATGAGAAACGTTCCCAGTTGCTTCTCGATTGAGGTTTATCAGCAGCCATACATGTTATATATGAATAAGACCTTTTCTTAGCTGAAACGTATTTGTTTTGACTTTGAGTGGGGCACAAACAACTGGAGCGCTTGTCACATTTAACACCTTTCTGTTAGCCTTCTCCCTCCGCCTGCCAAATAATAATGAAAACAATGTCATGCACCTGTGCGAGTTCGGGTTCAGGGCCTGCCGCACAGCTGCTTTTGGATTGTGGAGCTCCGTCGTGGAGCGTGGGCAGCTGGCAATGAACTTGCAGTCGACTCAAGTCGCCTCGACTCGACTTATGTCTCGAGCATCTCGCGCACGAAAACTTGGACACAAATTGCAGTTAAGTCAACGTATAATGAAAACAGATATCGGACATTTACGACAACGGGGCCGCTGGCAGCGAACGCTGCACGCACTCAACTGTAGCAGGTTCATTAGTGGAGCGTTCAAGTGAAGATAACACGACTACAAATATACCCTGTAGGCAGCACAAATATTAACATAAGTCAATTACTATTCGAGACGCGCTTTCATCAAATATTAACAGACATAAATTACTTCCAGCACTGAAGTTTTAGTTGAGTATCGTATTATCGTTAGCTAGCTATACCCTGTCATGAGCATTAGTAACTCAGAGCTTGAGAGCTAAGGTAAGCCTGACCTTCAGCAGCTTTGGCAAGCCTTATATGAACTTAACAATAGTCTTGTAGAGAATGATAAATGAGAGAATAATAAATGAGCTTTATGATGACATAACAGTAGACTTAAGGGAGCATTTAAAGAGCTTTACAAAGCTTTCACTGAGCATTAAGTGACTCCTATCTTTGCTCTGATTAATATTTACACGTTTCTTAAGGCTGCTCAAGTTTTAATTTCATGAGATACGATTCGTTATTCATAAATTTCTAACTTCCACTCAGATATTTCCATGTCTCTTAACATTATCATAGTCATATTTCATATAGACTTCAAAAAGCTTTCAGCACTCTTCCCATATTTATTATCTATTAAGTATTCTAAGCTTTGCAGATGAGCACAAGAGTCTCTCAATGGTCGCTCAAGGCTTAAATGAGCTTTTACAATACGAAAGCTTTTCTAAAGCTCTCTCTTAGCTCAGCTGCTTACAGCATTCAACTGCTGTTGCTAGCACAGCATACCCCACACAGCAACTCCACTGCAGGGCATGCAATATGCGCGTCTGTTATATACGTTCAAATGGCCGCGCGCATTGGCGATTTATGGAATATGTCACCCGTTGGCAACAAATTGCCCTGCAAATGCAATTAATTTGGCACACAAAAATGTCATTTCTCTCCCGAGTCTCCCACCAAAACGGGTTGCAGCCGCTCATTATTTTCAACTTAGGCTATATATCTCTATATATATAAATATATGGATACTATTTACAGTGGCCGCCACAAAGTATGCCACAATTGGTGGCACAGCTGTTGTAGTTGTTGAACTCACCTGCACGGAATACCTCGCCGCAGCCGTCGCAACGGGACGCGAACTGCGCATCGTAGCAGTTGCCACAATAGATCTTATCGGCCTTCGCTCCAAACTGCTTGTCGACCAGATTCAAATTGCATTTGAAGCAGAGGAAACAGGCCTCGTGCCAGTGCTTGTCTTTGTACGATAAATCCTATGGTGAAATGAAAGGAAAGAAGCTTAGATTTAATGAAGAATTTAGAAATAAAAATAAAATGAAGATCATTTTAACTACATTCAAAATAAAGTCTTTTGCTATCTTAGCAAAATAGAAAACCTATAAAATGGGAAACCTATAATATATAAAACATTAACTTTGTAATTTACTCAGAGCTTAATATTTGAAGCTGTTAATAAATTATCTTTAATTTTAGTCAAAATAATATGTCTAATTTTAGATACTCTGCAGTGCCTGTCTCTGAACTAACTTGTTATTATTTGATTCCTACTAATGTTCTCTATGTATATCTATCTATCAACAATTGAATAACTATCAAAATTATATGTTTTATAGATGTTACATAAATCTAAAACAAATATCTAAATAAATTTTAAAATTAATTTCTGGAAGATCCATTTGTTCTACAATGAGTTGATCTGGTTTCAACATTTTTTTGAAATATTAAAAAATAATGCTTTGCACTTGAGATGATCTATTCTATTTCTGTTTCTAATTTGCATGTAAATATAAAAGATGATCTCAATATGAGTATTAACTAATTTAAATGAAATCCATTTCAGAATCTATTTATTGAAAGGAAATTTCATTTGGTTTTAATTTGCATTTTCTATAATTTCTTTATCAAGCTTTATCTTTGTTTTCTGGAATTCTAGACACTATTAATTCATATATTTATTTGTTCATGTATGTTGCAATCAATTTTTTAGTCTAATATTTATGATCTATTTTTTTTATATCTATATTATTTTATGATCTATTATTCGATCTATTTTGCATGTATTTTCGATTAATTATTTCATCTATTACTGAATCTATTTTTCAAAATAATATTCAATCTATTATTTGAGCAACGCTTCGACCTATTTTTGCATCTGTTTTTTAATCCATTATTTTTTTCAATATTTTTCTTTGATCTGTTTTATGATAATTATTATTATTATTATTATTATTATTATTATTATTATTATTATTATTATTATTATTATTATTATTATAATTATTATTATTATTATTATTATTCATTCTCTTAATTGTTTAATTTTATGATTAAATTTTTAAGCTTTTATATGATATATTTTCCGTTAAATTTCCATCTCTTATTTAATATAGTTCCAGCTGCTAAGCTCACCTTCGAATCGATGCCAATTATCTTGTTGCACTCCTCGCACGTGTTGGCGAAGACGTTCTCGTAGCACTTGATGCAATAGGGATGATCGTCCCGGATGACGTAACGCTGTCCAGTTAGGCTCTCATCGCACTGCCAGCAGCAGAAGTGACCCGAGTGCCAGTCCTTGTCCATGGCCTTTGTGTATTCGCCACTGAAAATTAACTGCAAAAAGGACACACGACGATGTAGCCAAACCAAAAAGATCTCGATCAAAGTTAAACATATAGAATAAGTATTAACGGATAGAGTCCATATAGGAGTATTCAAATTGCGTGTGGGTCAGTGTAAAATGTGCTTGTTGTATATATCATGTATATTCACTGGGTAGCTATAGTATGTATATGTGGCCATACTCGATATAATGTATGTATTCACTTGTTATTCAGTTTCTCAGTTTATTTGTTTTGTTTTCTTGGTGTGTTGTTCAGTGTATGTTGTTGTTGTTGTTGTTTTCTTGTTGGTTTTTGGTGTGTGTAGACATTTATAGACATTTATAGACAACGACAGCTTTATGTTGGGTACCTTTTAGTAAACAGTTTTGCCGAGGAAAGAAGGTAGTAAACGTGTCGTTCGATTAATATTATGCGAGTACTTTGGATAGTTTTATTTGTGATCGTTTCAGATATATATATTTGGTATATATATTTGTGAGCGAATGTGCATGAGAAATATATATATATTTTTGAACGAATTTCGAATAGATCGAATGATATACGGGTATACGAAACAAAGACGAGACAATAAAAGAAACACCCATCCAAAATACCAGAAAAATACCAGAAAAATATCGAAAAATACCAAATATACTGCTGGATATTTGGCAGTTTTCTCTATACTCTTTTTTTTGGTTTAGAAATTTTCATCTGCTTTCTGTACTGAACCACACGTAACACGTTCCACCTACCCCCTTTCCTCGTTGGTGGCATCCACCTCGCTGATTTGCACTTCGGATTCGCGACGTTTTGACGACTTCTTGACCTTCTTCGTTTTCTTGACTTCCGTCATCGTTTGCATAATTTCCACATCCGCCATTTTGTGCCGCACTCAAAACTCAAAATTCAAAAATCTGCCAATCTTAACTCGAAAATTCCCCAATAAAAACCCAATTTGCACTCTAATGACCGACTGAACTTTCCCTATACAAATGCAGAAAAAAAGACTAAAACTTGATGCTAGCCGAAAAGTGTTCGCGAAACGTTTTGAACTTTGCCGAGTCGTGATGCCAACTGACGCGTTTCTTTCACAAAATATTCGAAATCTTTTCAAAAAAACTAAAACAGAAACCGAAACAGTCTAATAAGAAGGAAAAGTCTCGCGTGTATCTAGTTTCGCCCCCAGAGGCAAGTGTATAAATAAAATCTCGGGGAGTGCCGCAGAGCGCAGCAGCTGCCCGCTGAGCGTAAGAGAGAGAGGCAAGCACAGCAGAGAGGGAGAGAGCGGCAGAGGTAGAGTAAGCAAGCGAGAGAGAGAGCGCGAACAGCTATGCTCTTTTGCTTGTTGCCTTAGACAATATTTGATCATTAGCAGCTTTATGGAATCAAGTCCAGTTTGCAATTTTGTTTGTTATAAATCAAACACGCATCTATAAATATATCAATAAATGTTAGCCAGGTGTAGGTAGGTGTGTGTGGCACACACCTGCAGCAGCTGCTATAGACGTCATTTTACACACACGCGCGCAAGAAAAGAGAAAGATTCGTTTTTAGCATTTTCGGAAAATTCAGTTTTCCTTTGTTGTTGGCGCTTGTGCACACGACACACAAGTCACACACACACACGCACGGCAACACACCTACACGCACTCTCTTTCTCTCTGTCTCTCCCTCTCTCACTCTCCCACACTTTTGAAGCATAAATTCTTTGAATCAGTCTGACTCTGTCTGCAGCAGCTTTTGCCTCCACACATGCAACATCCAGCCATATAGATTTTTTAATTGATCAGTAAATATCGCGTGGGCCGTATACTATATGATTAATATCAGTTTGATACCGCCCCCTCCCCTTTTCCCTTCCCGTATTTGTTACAGCATTTTGGCACAGACAGCGCGCATATTAAAATGCCATTGGAAATTGTAATGCAAAATTGCAAACAGCTGCAGCAAAAAGAATTTCCAACTGGAAAAACGAATTCGAATTTCCCTCCTTGAATTCATGTTGGATATGTATTTCGCTTAATATTTAGTTGTTCGCAACGTTTCTGTCGGTGACAAGCAAAGGGCAAGTGGCCAAGGTAAATAGCTTTGCCCATCAAGTCGAAATCTCTATTAGATATATTTTTTCGTTTGCTTCAATGTAGCGATGACATTTTAAAAGCAGCCAATTTGCAGACAAGTCAGACAAGGCTAACAGCAACAGCAACAACAATGGCAACATTTACATTTACATCACAATTATTACGTTGAAATCGCATTGAACTGTAGAGAGAACAAAAAACATCGCGCGTTTAGCCACGTCTCTAACGTAGGCACATCTAGCAGGCAGTCCGAGGTTCAAAGCCCACATAGTCAAGTTGAATGATTTAATTAAATGTTTGTGGCCATAATTTAATTAGAAATTGGCAATAATTAGAAAGCATATACATAGTTTCTAAAGCTGAGAAACAGAATACCTCTTGCAGGGCTTTTTCGATACAAAAATAAAAATCTTTGGAAGAGCAAGATGAAGAATATATATTGTATATATATTATTTTATATATTGTATATATATTATTTTATAGTATATAGTAATTCATGTTAAATCATGCTGAATATGAAGCTATGAACTCAACGCAATATATAATATAAACAAATAAATGTGGCTAAATTTTAGAACTTATAAACGGATCAAGCTTGTGTTTTTGCTTTTTACTGAATGTAATGGAAATGTAAATCAAATGATTTTCTGTTATCTTAAACATCAGCATACATTAGAAATTGTAAGTATAGATAGAATTTGATTTTAGTGCAGTTTCCAAGCAAATTATAAACAGCTTTTGAGCTGTAGCACTGCCGCTTGAAGTAATCCCAACATAAACGTGATAAATTAGTCATGTTTATGTTAGGTGAAAATATGAGCTAATCACGCGTTAAAACTAAATTTTATTATGTTATTTTTACATTTAACCAAACTAGTAAAAGTTAGTTTTATTATAGACAAAAAAATATATAAAAATATATTTAGTATAAGTTTTTATGGCATACTTGATGCATATAACGAATTTATAATTGAGTCCATGTAGACGCAGCATATGAGTGTATATATATAAATATATGTCTTATATATATATATATATTTATATATATATATATGAATAATTGCAGCTATTAATGCAGCGGCGGCAGCAGACAAGAGCAATGGAGCAAAGTGAAATGCAATCTTCGCTCGATTTTATTTTAATTTATTTTATTTTTTATTTTACAATTTATATTTTCTGCGCTCTTCTGCTACTGCTTCTGCTTCTGCTTCTTCCTCTTGTCTATAAATAAATGCAATTCGCGAATCTTTGATAAAAACTTGGCGTGTTTCACGTTCAACACTCGAAGCGTTAATTGGGTCATAAATTCATAAATTTTCCAGCTTTTCATTTATTTTCATAAAAGTTTCAAATTTATGAGCAGCAAACAGAGCAAAAGATTATGGAAAACTTGAACTTTTTGCCGCGAATCTCTGATTCTGCATGGGCCAAAAGTTCAAGTTGAAGTTTGTTTATAAATAAATGCAAATTGGGATAATCCATTCGAAATGGCCGATCTATAATTAGATCGGCCATTAAAATGGCATTCGGTCATCTCTTGCACGCGGCACAAAACATCATTAATTATATTATTATTTTTTGCTTTTGCTTTGGAACCGCAATACACATCAATAAAAATCAACTAAGGGGCACAGATATATATATATATATACGTATTCATGAAAAATTGGAAATGCTGGCAACAAAGGTGTTTCCTTTTAGACAAGAAATTCAATTTGTTTAAGCTCCACAGCTGAATAAGCAATTAGCAGACGACTAAATACCCTAAAGACTAACAGATTTCTTACACTAATCAAAGTCTTTTGCAGAGCCCAATCTACCCCTTTGGCTTCTGCAGTTGTGGTTATTTTTCAAAAAATATTAAATGAGTAGAGAAAAATATTTTTAAGTACGCCAAGAAAAATGAATTCATGTCAAAGACGAAACTATTGAATAAGACTTTTTGGCAAACGTATTTCGCATGTTTTCTTAGTGCAACAAGAACCATATGTACGCCGACATAGATATAGATATATATCTATATATTATTTGTGCTACGTACATCCAGATTACGCAATGCCGAAGGCCCTGTACGAGAAACAAAAACAAAAAAACAAAGGAACAAACAGCAAACAGTTTGAAGAGCAGAGACCCCCCAAACAGAGCAAAAATTGTGGCAGCCAAGTGAGCTGCGTAAACAAATCATGCGAGTGACACGGATTCTGTGTTTTGTTGTCATAAATATTTTAGCGCGTAAATTTGCAGACACATTTAACCTGCTCGACTGGCGCAGATCGCTTTTGAATTGTCACCGAAAAATATGACTTCGCAGCGCCTAATTTGACAGAGGATATGACATAAGATAGTTGACAGCGTTATATCAGCGACAAAGCTGAAAGGAATCGCTCTCAAAAGATTAATATTATTATTTGCAAGAAAGCAACGTCTTTGCCTTGCCTTTGAATCATTTGCGAATTTATCTTTGCTATTAAAAATAATAAAAATAATATATTAGCTATTTTATCTAGTTGTTGCATGCTTTTAGGCGCATTGTAAAGTGATAGATAAGTATATATGAATATAAAATACTTAAACAAGTATTCATAATATAAGAAATATGACTAAAAGCAGAGTAGATATAGAGGAATATGAAAGCATTTACTACTGTAAGGAATTCTCAAAGAATTAGAGATGTGAGAGGGTCAATATAACTAGAGCTATAAATATACAGATATATATAAATTATATATAATTATATATATATTCGATCAAAGATCGAAATACTCTAAACTAAATTAAAATACATCAATTTTTTATATATAAATATAGATAGATCGCCGGAGTGAATTGCTCTAGCAAGCAACACCTCAGGGCAACCCTAATCATTGGCCAATGTTCATTGGTAAGCTGTAGCTATGCCTGCTGAACTTGCAACACAACTGAAATATTTCTTATATCTAATAGTAGAAGATAATCAAACGACTCACTGAAGAGAATCGCAGCTGAAATGCCAAGCCCAAACTTAAAAGCTAAGTATAAAGACATAAGTATATTCAAAGTGAAAAGATGAGAATTGGATTTCTATGTACAAGTGAGAGATGAAAAGAGATTTATCTGAACTTAGGCTTTACTCTAAAAATAAAGTAGTTTTTAGCTAAAATAAACATACAAACAATTTATGTGCGTCACTCGATCAAACAGCTAATAGACTTTAGCAACAAAAAGTTCGAGTCCCTTATCTAAACTAAAGCAGTATAAATGCACAGGCTTTATATAGTATATATATTATATATAGTATATATATTATAGTACACTATTTATAGTAATCACACATATCACTAATTAGTAACTTCAGTTCAATCAGGAAGTTGACTGAGCACACCTATCTCACGTATGCCAAGCTACAATCGAAATCATTTTTATAGCGTGTCACAAAATTTCATTTTTATGGTAACAATAAACTGAAATTCTATAGGCATGGACCAAAGTAGTAAGGCCTTGTATAATGGCTACTTAAAAATGCTTTCCAACATGACATTTTAAGTATTTTGTGACTTGGCTGACAAGAGCATTAGAATAAGGCCATCAACTGAGCTGAACGTACAGCAGCCAAGACTTGCGCTACTCGAATCGATGACATCATGTGACCGAAACGAGCCAAGTGCAAATTGGGCCAAGCATACGGTATATATACGATATATACTATACAGACTATATAGACTGCATATATACTATATATATTATATGGCCAATTGTCTCTGGCTGAGTGTCAGTGCACTTGGCGCATTTGGATAACAAAATGATCTCAATGCTAGGGCATTTCTGTGGTCCGACGTTTGCTGGTGAGAGGTGAGAGGCGAGAGACGAGAAGCAAGAAGCGAGAATCGAGAAAACATGCAGATACAAATAGATGAGAAATATTTTTAGCTGAGTCGAGCCGGGGCGAACATTGCGTCAGATGCAGTTTCTGAATGAACTGATTCGATCAGAAATATATTCATTAATTCATATATTCATATTTATTGTCAGCAGTAATCGATAAACTAACAGATATAGATAGCAATTAATCGATATCATAATAAATAATAATAACAATAATCCTGCTCTCAATTCGATTTATAGATCGTTCGTGCGATTCTGGGTCTGGTCGTTAGTATAATACAGTGAAAGATCCCTCAGTCTAGCGGAACTGGAACTGTTACCGGAACTGCAACTGCAACTGCAACTGGGTGCATAACAGTTTGATTGTTTTGGATTGATTTTTATGCAGCGTGCGCGATGTGGATGTGGGGCTTATGAACATGTCTATAAGAAACAGATAAAGATTGAAATCAAATGTAAGTGTATATAATATTCGTTGCCTAGAAGAGCGGATAGAAGTTGGCATCTTTGAGCAGGTCAAAGGTGTCAACAACAGAGCGAGCGGGCGTAGTTGCTGTTGCTGCATTGTTAGTAACCAAATCGGAGCTCGGCGGCTCCTCGAAGGACGAGGCGGGAGTCAGGCACAAGCTGTGCCCGGCACTTAGGCTGGACAAGAGATTCTGCTGGGTCGAAGCTGGCGTTAGATTCGCAGAGGCCGAAACTGTGATGGGCGCAATCTTGGCCAAAGCCTCGGCCAAGGCTGCATCAATGTCTGGGCCATTGGACAGGTCTGGGACTTCGCTCGACTCTTGCTCCTTGATTGACTTCTTGCGTTTCTTTGTCTTCTTTTTCTGTGTTGTCTCTGCCGCTGGCTCCAGCTCCGCTATGCCTTCCAGTGTTTCCTCGGCGACAAAGCCAATGCTGCTGCGCGGCGAGAAGAGCCCACCATTGGCCTCCTCATTGGTGGCGCTGCTCTTGGAGCTGCGTCGCGAACGCACCTTGCGCTTAGTTGTTTCAGTGAGGCTTTCCCCATCTTCCCTGCTCGCCGAGGCACGTCGATTGATTTGTTGATTGGTGTCTGAGTCGTTGTCGTCTTGCAGTTCCTCCTCTGTTTTAGAGCCCTTGCGCGTCTTCTTCTTGCTCTTCTTCTTTTTGGGTTTCTCCAGGGATTCTTCGTTGATCGGTAGCTCAGCATTTGCGGCTTCCATGGCATTGATAGAGTCGCCTCCATTTTTCTGCTCTGGCAACGTTTCCTCCAGCACAACTGACAACAGCTCGCGCTCTGGACTACGACTGAAAAGGGTAATGCTCTCGCCTCCTAGACTAATGCGACGTAGATCCAATTCACCACTTGGTGGCGGCTCGAATAGATCCTGATCCTGATCCTGCTCCAGCTCTAGCTGCTGTAGCTGTTCCTCGTCCAGAGTCACCTCTTGTTCCTGCTTCTCCAACTGTTCCTGTGCCTGTTCCAACAGCTCCTCGCCAGACTGAAGCTCCTGGCTGGGTCCTTCTGACTCATTATCGTCCAGCTTAAAATTCTTGCGCCAATTGTATTCCCTCTTCGGCTTGTAGTTCAGATCCACTTCGATATCATCCTCCGCAATGCCTCCTTGTAGCTTGGGACTGTAGCCGTAGCGGGTGCGCAGACGTGTCGACTGCCGTGCCGCCACCTGAGCATCGCCTAGATAGCGCATCTCCGTATCGCGACGCTCGCCCTCAAGCAGGCCAAGGGATATGTCGATGTCCCTGTGCTTATGGCCATCTTCAGATCTGCTTAGCTCTCTGGTCTTGGCCCACAGCGCATAGCGCTCGCTATCCGGGCTGGATTTCTCCTTATCCGAATCGCTTTGGTCCACATTATCCGCAGGCAACTGCTCCTGCACCATTGTCTCGTAATCCCTTAGGATCCCACTCTGCTTCCGGTTCTTTACAGCATCATTGTAAATCTGCTCGATAAACGAATCTGGGTCGGAATAGGCTCCACCCACAGCGCCGTCGTCTAGGCTATAGTCTGCAAAGTCCTCCACATTGTCCACTTCCTCCCAGTCGTTGGCTTCCCGGTTCGCATAGCGGTCCGCATTGCGCTCCGCCTCCTCGCACTCGGATGTATCGTGATGGGACTCATCCGTTGGCTGCGTACGCTCGTTGTTATCCGAGATGCCCTCGTCCAACTCAAACTCGAATTCATCATCGTCGTCACCGTCGTCGTCGTCCATTTCGACTACAGTTTGTCGTTCGTCGTCGCTGTCATTGCTGCTGCAGGCATCATCGTGGCCCGGATACTCTCCGCATATATCAAAATTGTAAACTGCGCTCGTCTCATCGAACTCGGCTGCCTCCGCCTCGGCTGCCAGCACGGCGCGTGCCCATGAGCGCTCCTCAGTGGCATATTCCGTCTCTTTGTCCGACTCTTGCAATAGTTTTCTGCCCTCTTCCAGCTGCAGCTCAAGGCTGTCCAGATCGTGTGTATAGAAATCCTCTTTGAGCCAGGTTCTCTTGCCCGTCAGCGAACGCACTTCGATTTGTGAGATATACACACACTCATCGCTGGGATACTCCTCGACAGGCTGCTCCTGGGCCAGCGAGTAGCGCCTGAAATGATGATACTCCTCCGGCTCTAGGTCTGCAAACGGATCCAGCTGCATAATGGCCGAGTCCGAGGCGCGTCTTTCGCTATCCAAGAAATCTGTATTCAAATAGCGCGAAAAGTTCTGGAAGTTAACGCTGGAAGCTGCCAGCTGATCCAGCAGCTGATCCTGTAGCTCCCGCTTGGCGGCCTCGGCATCAATGTTCTGCAGCGCCTTCGCATCCTCCACATCACGCCCGGGCGAGCGACTCTGACTGCGGGAACGCTGAAAATCAGCCGTGCGATGACGCAGATCGTCCAACTGTCCAGATATGCCTGCGGCTAGTGGCTCCTCCTTTAGCTCCTCCGAGACTCTGCGATCGTACTCATTCGTCTTGGGCTTGGCCCCGAGTCGCTTCTCATCCTCTGACCCACTGGCGCTGATCAGCGAATTGAGTATGGCCTCCTGCATCTCGCGCTGCGATGCCGCCTGCTCGCGAGCCACCGACAGATCCAGCGAGGGAGAGGGCGTGCGAGAGCGTTGAAAGCGCGCAGTCTCCTGACGCTGCTGTTCGTACTCGCTGCCCAGATCTAAAGATTCGCCCACGTAGGTGGAACGCTTAAAGCCACTGATGTTCAGCTCATCCTTTAGATCACGCGCTACATCTGAGATGCTGCGCTCGTAGTCGTAGGCACAGTCTGACTCGTCGGGCGTGCCAACGCGCAGCTCGACCTCTTCGCTGGCATTGGTTAACTGATGCAGGGCCTCCAAGTCGAGCTCCCGCTGCTTGGCTATGCTGGCCAGCACACTCTCCAGCTCTGCGCTGTGCTGTCGCAAGCTGCGCTGATCGCCGCCTTCAAGGTTGAGCATCAGCTGGAAGTCCGGTTCATGCTCCCCGCCTTTTGGCGAATTGGAGCGTGAGCGTGAGGGCGAGAGAGAGCGCATATCCCGACTGCTGCCTGGACGCTGCTCAATTGAATGAAAGTCCGGCTCTGGTGTCTTGGCTCGCTGTTCCAGCCGCTCAAAGAAGGCGTCATTCTGAGCGATGAGCTTCTCCCTTCTGTGCTGCAAGCTGTGCTCCAGATTGGCGGCCGATGGCAAGGGCGAACGGGAGCGGGAACGCGAATGCGAACGAACGCGATTGAGACGCAGCTGCTCGAATAGCTTGGCCATCGACTCCGGCGTATCCTCGGGCTCCTCCAGAGCTTCCTTTGGCTCTTCCACAACTTCAATGGAGATGGTAGGCAAGGGAGGTGGACTGAGCGCAATAACTGGAATATCTATGGGCACATCCACGTCTGAAGCGTGTGCGTCCTTCAACTGCTCGAAGAGCTCGTCGTTGTGCTTGATGCGTTTCAGTCGTCGCGTCTCCAAGCTTCTTTCTATGTTATCAGCTGTCGGCAGAGGCGAGCGTGAACGGGAGCGGGAGCGTGACTGTGAACGTTCACGTGAATTGCGCTCGGCACGCAAATTTTCGACAAACAAACGCATCTCCTCGCGCGTGGGCAAAGGCTCAGTGTCGTCTGCTCTCGCCTCGGCCATGTCATTGATCTCGATAATAGGTTGGGGTAGTCCGGCGTCCGATCCGGTGTGACTTGCATGAGCCTCTCCGTAGCCATTGGTTTCCATTTCCGCAGAGTTTTCTCCTCGATTATGCAGCGCCTTCTGCTGCATGTGCTGCTCGAGCTCGTTGACAGTTTGAGGCTGCGTTTCAAAGACCATGGGCACAGCTGGATTACCCCCATTCTGGGGCTCTTCGTCGGCGACATTTTGGAGCTGCAACTGCTCGCCTTGAGACTGGTTTTCATTTATGTTCGCCTCCAGCATCTGTAGAACTAATTCGCAATTCAATTCACCGGCCAGCAAGCCCGCTTGGCTGTCGTCGTAGACCTCCAGGGTGTGTGCCTCATCGACATCCATGCGATTGGCCACATTCTTGGGCTGTGGCGATGGATTGCGTGAGGCCGACCTGGATCTCGAGGGGTTGCTGGATGCTTGAAAGTCGTAGAAATCGCTGATGCCCTCCATGAGTAAGCCGTATTCATCCCGCCAAGGAGCCGTGTCCGGCTGATGTATGGCTATTGTTGGCGTTGCCTTGCTGGGCAGCTGGCTAGCCGCCTCCGATTCACGCCAACGCTCCTCGTAGTGATCCATTTCGTCGATGCGCGGACTGCGACGCAGGCCGGGTGAACCACGCCTCGGCTGCTCCTCTGTCGCTGAAGAGGTCTGCAGCTGCACAAGCGAAAGCCAGCAAAGGGGCAGAAAGCAGAGGCGGACAGATATGAAAGGCAAATGGAAAGCGGTTAAAGCAGTTGCGGCAGAGAAAGAGTTAAGGCCAGGCGGGCATTTGGAGGCAGGGCGGGCATTGCGTGCGAGGGTTAAGAGTTGGCCAAAGCACTTACATTGGATTTAATGTCGCTGCTGCCAGATTCCGTTGCTTTCGTAGACTCCGAGCTGTCCTTGTCCTTGTCCTGATCAAAAGTTGATCAATTATAATCAGTTGTTCTGGCTGCTAGGCACCACTTACCAGTTGCTCCTTGGAGCGCTGCTGGCTCAACGCAGTGGCCGCCAGCTCGTTTTGTTCCTCGGTAGCATGCTCAAAGGACGAGGCTTTGGGCAAGTTCTGTGAGTCGTCCAGCACCTCTTCGCCGGAGGCGCGTTTCTCCAGATCGAACTCCTCCTCGTCAATGGACAAGGCTTTCTCCCGCTTCCAAAACTCGGTGTCCTTATAGTGTTCCGGCTGTACTTCGCCCCAGGGATTTGAGCTCTCCTCGCCGAGCATTTCCAGTGAGCCAGGCACATCGGACGCTGGCTTCACATCCTTGACAGGACTGCGCTTGTGCCGTCTGTGATGTGATTTGACGCGCACGCTGGGCTCTGTATACTTGATGGGATTGTAGTCCGCCTTATCGCCGTGGCGCAGTTCCTCCTCCTCCAGCGATGTGAACATTTTCACCTCTTCGTCGCGTGAGGCGCGTGACTCGCGCGATGAATTCGAGCTTCCACTTGATCTTCGTTTCTTAAACGCGCGTCGACGACCCGAACCATCCTCTCGTATCAGCGAACGACTCTTGATGCCGTCCAGCGAACGCAAATAGTCCTCGGTGTATTGGACATCGGGCACATTGTCCTCGCCCTCCGGCTCCTGGCGCTCCTCCTCTGTTCTGCGCTCCTCGGAGGGCTGTGTGCTAAACGAGGATTGCTGGCTGGAATTGGGCTCCACGGAGGAGCCCTCATCAGAGACACTCGGAAACATTAAGGTCTTCGAGCGCGTGTAGGGCTCCTCCGCTGCTCCTCCTCCGCTTTTCTGGCCAAACTGCGTCTTCACGCGCTGCACGATCATCGGCTCCTCGATCGTCGGCTCCTCGAATCTGGGCGGCAATATCTTCTTGACGCAGGGCTCCTCAACAACAGGCACCATGCCGGCATATTGTTCATCCTCCTGCTGCTGAGCCGCCTGCAGCATGCGCTGCTGCAGCATCACCATCTCCTCCTCCGCCTCCATGAAGAGTCGCGCGTTCTCTTCAATTGACTTTTGTTTCTTTTCCAAATCCAATTTGCTAGCTGCCACTCGTCGGGACTGATCCAGTATTAAGGCCTCCTCCTCCAGCTCGCTCTCCGTGGCGCTCAGCTTGCGCTCGCGCTCAGCTGCCAACAGACGCTGCACAATTTCCGCATCTCTCTGCTCCTGCTCCCGATCATCCAAGTCGAGCAGCTGGCGCTCGATCTCTGCTGCAGCCGCTTCCTCCTCGATCAGACGCTGAGCAGCGAGTCGCTCCGCTTCGGCTTTGTGCAGTTTTCTTTCATTTTCCTCCAGTTCGTACTGCTCTGCATCTGCTTTTCTTTGCTTTTCTTCTCTTTCCAATTCAGCCTGCAGAAATTTTCTTTCATTTTCTTGGTACTCGCGTTCGATTTCTTGCAATTTTCTTTCATTTTCCTCTCTTTCGCGTTCGGCTTCTTGCAACATTCTTTCATTTTCAGCTGCTAGCAATTTTCTTTCATTTTCCTCTCTTTCTCGTTCGGCTTCTAGCAGTTTTCTTTCATTCTCCTCGCGCTGCTTTTCGGCCTCAATCAATTTGCGTTCGCGTTCGCGTTCGAGTTGCTCTTGCTCTTCGCGCTTTCTTTCAGCTGCTTCGCGTTCTTTTTCCGCCTCGATTAGCCTTCGTGCGCTCTCGTTCGCCTCGGCCGCCAATCGTTGCTCTTCAGCTCGTTTGCGATCCTCCTGCAACCTGTGCTCCGCCTCCGCCAGCTGTTTGCGCGTCTCCTCCTCGATGCGTCGCTGCCGCTCGAGCTCCGCAGCCAGCGCCGCGCGCTTCTCCGCCTCCGACTCGACCCGGAATCCATTGCTATAGAGCACACCATCCTGCATGACATTGCTGCCTGCTGCCGCTTCCCTTGCGGCCGCCTCTGCTATCTCCTTGTCCAGGCGCTCGCGCAGACGCGGCAGCTCCTCGGCATCGGCAGCCGCATCGATGCCCGCGTTGTGGCTGCTAGGATGCTGGCAGCTCCAGTGATACAGATGGCGAGCCACAAACGCAAACTCCAAGGCGCCCAGGTAGCCAATTAGCAGCGAGAAGAGCAGCTCGCCAATGCCGGTGAGCGCGTCGTCTGCAGCCATTCGCGTTCGCTTGCGTAATGCGCCGACTTTTTATAGAGTATACAGCAGCAGTGCAATAGCACGCGTGTGTGTGTGTGTGCGTGTGTGTGTATTCACCACGCACTCACAAACACTCAGACAGACAATCGAAGCACTCAAAAGCGATTAGGTAATTCAATTAGAAATCTTTTCGCCAAGCGAGCAAAAATCGATGAAAATTCACTTGAAAATAAATAGCTTAAATTTTCTAAAATTTTTTAAATATATATAATTATTTTGAAATATATATATTTATATATATTGTGCGCACTTTTTCACTTTTGACTTTTTCCGGGGCAGCGAGGCAGCGTGGCAGCAGTTGCAGTTGCACTTGGCGCCAGTTGTTGCCACCTAATCGATCGTCTTGCAACTGATTAATGCCGCGCAGCGAAAGGGCCGACAGCGACTGAGTGAATCACAAGCAACAAAAATTTCTGGCAAGGGGGCGTGGGGGAGGGTGACTAGCGGAACGGCGATTCGTTAAGTATTTTGGCAACGAAATTGGCCCACGGGCTGTTTTTTTTTCTTATACTTCTTCTTCTTCTTCTACGTTTTGGCCGAGCGCGATTCCTAATCAGCGCGCCATGTAAATTGCGAATGATTTTTCGTTTAACAATCTATTCACCAAAAGGCCAATGAATAAACATGCACACACATCTAGATATATATATATATATATATTCTTTTTTTTCTTTATTTTTTTCACATTTTCCATTCCTCTTAATTTTCGCATTTGTTGCGTTCACGCTTTTCATTTTGGGCTATTTATGTTTTTTAATACTTTTGCCATGGCCAATGTCGCTGCAGTTGCTGCTGCCACAAACGGTGGCAACAACAACAGCACAAACACTTTATTTATCAGCAAATACGTTAGCTATCAGAAAATTGTCTATTTTTATTTTCTATTCATTTTTCTTCTAATAAATATCGAATTAATGTGCCAAAAATAACTTAGAATGCCTGGGCGTTTGTTTTTCTTTGTGCTGAAAGGGAAAGTGTGTGTGCGACAGCCGAAGTGGGCGTGGCAGCCTTATGCTATATATTTATGTTAGTTTTCAATGGCAAACGAATTAGATCGCAAAATGATATATAGAGATCATATTGAAGCCCACAGCTGGCACAGCACAGCGAGCGCGCAGCTGCTGAGCTCTTAAGCAAATATGTTTTTCAAAAAAGTGTTAGAAGGTCAAGAATTTCAAATACTTTAAAGTGACATAGTCATTCATCAAAAATAAGAGGAAAAATACAGATACATCAGTGCAAGTTTTCATGCTTAAATTTGTTAAAAAATCAACAACTAGAAATCAATTTTCATTTAAAGAAAATGTATTATTTGGTATGTTCATCATTACACTGAGAAAAAACAAGTATTCGAAGAAATGTGGAAATGACGACAGAATTTTAAAGTCCTCTTGATTATTAAAATGCAATAAACAAGATTTTACTTCAACTTTCAATACAGCTTACATGATGAAAATATATATTGTCACACATAATATAAAATATATGCACATATGCAGCTATTATATATATGGATTGTTAAATACTAAATGAATTTAATATAATTTATATTTTATTTTCCTTTATTTAGTTTTTATTTGATTTTAATTTAAATTTTGGCATTTATTTTATTGTTTTACTTTTTAATTTTATTATATATTTTATATATTATTATTATATATATATATATATTTTATATATTATTATTATATATATATATATATTTTATATATTATTATTATATATATATATATATTTTATATATTATTATTATATATATTTTTTGTTTTTTTTTTTTTTTATATAATTTATTATTTTATTTAATTTTTTATTTTAATTGTACTTGTATTTTTATACGTTTGTCCTTTCACTTACAATATTTAAATTAACTTGCTAAAGTTGCTTAAAGTTTTCTTTCTTATGAAAACAGAGTTCAAACTTCAGGCTTACTTCAAGAGTTCACAAGTTTCATATGCCGTATTACCTAACGGTAATATTTCGACTTACTTCCGAATTCGAGCCGCTGCCCAACGATGTCAACACGTCAACGGACAAAGTCACAAAGGAACTGTCAACTGGCCTCGATAAGGGCCAAAAGCTGCATTGGCTGACCTTTCGATATGGCCAGATATGAAGTTCAATGAAAAAAAAAGAACAGAATATAGCTGGCTAAGGATTATGGAGGACACACCTCTGTCATTAAAGCTGACTGAGCGTGCGACAGCCCATAAAAGCAAAAACAACGCCAAGCAACTGAGATGAGCGAGGGAGACAATTAGAACCGTGAAACAATTAGAAGAACAGCCTGAAAGTGTGCTAAGCATTTGTGTCTCTGTAGTCCAGTGTAAGTGTGACTGTGTGCGTGGGTGACAATTTGGTGATGGATTGAAAGCAGGACTCACCTCATCACAGCCCGTGCAGCGGGGTTTCAGCATTTCCGCGTAATGGCGCTCACAGTAGACCTTATCGTCGTGGACACAGTAGGTGAGGTCCACTAGCAGCTCGTTGCAGGTGCTGCACGTGAAGCACTTGGGGTGCCACATGACGCTCTCCACAAATTTGGGCGCGGCCACAATCAAGTCGCCAGCAGATATCTCGTTCTCGCACTGCGCACAGTGCTCATCATAGGGCGCATCCTTAATGTAGGCTGCAGGACATACAAATGTGGCCAAGTGAGCAATGGCTGGGAAATTTACCTATCTCGGCAACAACTCACCTATATCCAATGCAATTTCATTGCGTGCCGTCACAAAGTCCTCGAACGATGCCTCATGCTGCACCTCCAAATGCCGACAGTGCTCCAGCGAGAGATCCTGCTTGGGCAGCTGATAGGCGATCTGCTGCTCGCGCAGTCGCGCTCCCTCGCTGCCCAGCCGTGGCACCTTCTCATCCGGCAGCTGGTCAAAGTAGCGATTCACGCGCGACGAGACACGCACGCCTGCCGGCACCCACGTATAGCCCAGATCTCGCGGCTCCACGCCCGAATCTGCCGGCGAAACTACCTTGAAGCCGAGTCGCTCGTGCACATTCGTCGTCTGTTGCTGGTAAATGGCATGCGCCTCACGTGGACATTTGCACGATTGGCAGGTTTTCCTGGAAAAAGCGGAGGAGATGAAAGATGATGATTAGATGAGAAGAGTACAAGAGATAACTAATAGGAAAACTTAAAAAAAAAGTTGACTTTATAGAAAATAATGTCCATAACATAGAAATTATCTAAATTTTTCAGTTATTTTCCCTTTCAGTTTTTCAGTTTATTTCAAACATTAATTTCCATTGTAGTTCCAACTGTTGCCGCTGCACGCAAACGGCGCACGCCGCAAGCTCACTTCACACGTCGCCCAGCGCCATCTAGCGGCAGCTTTCGCCACGTTTCACACGCTTACCTCACAATGAGATCGTAAATTTCCTTTTTATCGAACACCTTGCAGTAGACGCTGAGCACATTGAGGCAGGCATAGTGCATGCCCGTCCAGGGCACGTCGGAGGAGGCCAATGCCGCCCACAGGGGGCAGTCAGCGTGGCGGTCCAGGTCGAGCATCTTAACCATTTTATGCACACAACTTAACGGTTAACACTTTACGATGCTCCGGACATCAACATTAACTGTACTTTGAACTTGCCTAGTTTTACGATTTTTTGGCAACTGTTCTTAAAATATTATTGCTTATTAAATTTGCGTTCTGCTTTACATTTATTTTTCACTTTTTGTTTCACCTTTTGCCTGACTCATCAAAAGCAAAGTTGGTTGAGTGCTACGCGGGCTACTTGGGAGGCGCCTCCACAGAGAAACGAAAGAGATATTTATATAAGTTAAACAGTTTGCATTTGGCACATCTGTTCGGATTATTTGCTCATTGACATTTTGATGAAGGTGTTAATTTTAACCTTTATGCGAGCGCTCACACATTTACGACGTCTTCTGTTTACGTTATTTAGTTTAGTTTTCTTTCAATTGCCATTAATTGTTTCTGCTTTCTTCTATATCGTCTCTGTTTTCCAATTAGACAAACACAATCAATGTCATAAAGGAAAAAACAACAACATCGACCCACGCCTGAAACATGAGTCGAGCCAAATGACCAGCACTCAAAAAGGTATTCGAAAATGAAATAAAAATAAAAATAGAAATAAAAAAGGTAAAGGTACGGGTAAAGGCAGCGACAGAGACAGCAGCTCACAACTTTCTGATAAGATTAATAAATACGAAAATAAAGAACGCACACACGCATTCGTATTGGACAGTGTGATGTCATCAGGGGGCGCGGGCGGGTGGTGGCATGGCTGAGGCAGCAAAAAAGATTGTCAACTGCCACGAAAAGTAAAACAGCTCAGGTACGTAATAAAGTCGAAAAATAGCTGATGAGCAAGCAGCCGGCAGAGATAAGTCCAATAAGAACCACATAGTCCAATCAGAGGAAATGCATTGAAGCCCGAGCTGACCTTTTATAGACACAAGCCAAGCGCCGATTGTTGCTGTTGCTAATTGCTCACGACTCGACGTCAATGCGGAAAATGCAACAGGTTTGCAAATAACTAGTGGCTGGGGGAGGCGGGAGTTACCTGGTATCTGGTATCTCAGTGCAAACATGGCACAATTTAATGGAATTATTTGCATGATTCATATTTACAATGTCTCTCTCTGCTATCAAGAAACGAGATCAACTTATGTTTCTTCTGTGAATCACTTGATCAAAGAACACATAAATTATTTGATAAGCAACCAAAATTACTAAGAGTAGGGTAGATATATGGCTGGGGCTAAGATAACTGGATTTATAGTAGAAATATTCACAGAACTCTTAAGAAAAATAAACAACAAAAGATAAGTTAACTTTGTAGAAGAAGTATTACATATATGTATATATATATATATATATATATATATATATATATATATATATATATATATATAATATACAATATATACAAATATATATTATATATAATTTAATCAGTTTATGCTGCCTAGTCAAACCTATCCCTCAATCATAAAGATATTGTCACAAACCTTATCACTATTACGTCTTCTTCTTCTTAATTTCAGAAGTATATATCATATAGCTATCTGAGGCCTGAGACGTGAACAATGAAATTCTTGTCTAAAGATATTGTTCGTCATACAGATATATTTACCAAAATACTTTTGAGCTATACGAAACACTCGAGACATAAACAACATCTGATTAATAATGAAGTTCTGCGAGGGTGGCTAGAAACATACCAACACAGGTATTTTCATTTGAATTGGATATATTTATTTTCAATCTTATTTTAACTATTTTATGAATATTTTAATATATGAAAATTAATCTCACTTTTCGCTTCTTTAACAATCTTCATAGATCGAATCACACTCGTAGAACTCTACAGCTATGGAAAATATTTCTCTTTTGGGCAAAAATGTGCTTTACTTTCTATACGTCAACTTCTATATGTGCTAAATAATATATAACAGATCTAAAAATTCTAAATTTTAATATCTATTTTCAAATTATTTTTCTATTTGTCTATATAATCTATGTTATGTGTATAATAGCAAATTACAAAAATACAAAATGAAAATTGAAACATTTTGTGACCTCAAGCGAAATTCTTTTTATAGTATTCCCTGCTTAATCGCTGTGCCTCAAGCTAATACATCATGCTAATACCCGCTAAAATTAGCCAAAAGGCGCTGACATTTACATATTACATATATAGTATATAGATATATATAGTTTATAGGCATATATATAGTACACATATATATATTTACAATTTGCAAAAATTTAAGTTTAGGTTCATCTAGCTCCCATCTCATAATAGAGTATACCTACTATATAGACAGAGATAACTGTAGCATTGCACCTATTGCCAGTCAGACAGACCACGTATACTATGTAAATATATTCCGTTTCTTTTGTATTCATAAAGTTGTCAGATGCGCAACCTTATCTCTTTGGCAAACAATTACTATGCCATTAAAACGTGTTCATGGCAGATTAAACAGATGTCGTACGCCCATATCAAATGAGCGCAAAAAGCGAACAGATTTCGTTTAATTGAATTGCGACACGAATTTAATAAACGATAGCACAGAGCAATCAGCGAGAATTGGGCTTAATATGCAGTGTGTATACATAATGAATTGCTGTCGAAGGGTAGATAATACAAAGATACCCAATAAAAAGAGATTTGGCTAGAAACTAGCTATATGCATAGCCAGATAATAGCTTTCTTAAGCGCAGCCAACTTAATATGCATTGTAATTATTAAGTTGGCTGCGCTTTAACATTTAGTGCCGCCATATCGCTGAGAAATGAGGTTATGTTGTTTTCTATTGATAATTAAACAAAATAAGACCATAATGGAAAATTTGACAGTTCTAATTGCATTTCTTCTACACTAAAAAACTTTTTCATATGTATTTTTTCACCTTAGAGATTTTAGCTTTAAAAAAGCTTTTCTTGGAAAACAATTCTCACTTTGGATAGTTCTGATTGCCATATCTTAAATCTTAAACATTTACTTTTATGATTTTTGCTGGTTTCACTTTAGACAAGTTTACAATAGAAAACATTTTCTTCTCTATGGAATATAATATGTGCGCCCGCAAACATGATTTTTTGACATGCGGATAAAAGCGTATGAAAACATAACGAACACGGCAAAGGAAGAAGAGGAAGCAGAGGCAAGCGTCGAAGTCGCTGCCAAAGTTTTGCTGCGAGATAAATGTAATTAAAAGCTAGCACACACTTACACACACACGCACACGCACATAGACAGACGTTCGTTTGTTGTTGCCCGCAGCATTTGGCAGTTCTGCTGCTGGGCATCGAGGAGGACCTGAGGTAGACGTGGGGTAGTCAAACAATTACAATTGATAAGCACCAAAGTCACTTTCATTTATCTATATATATATATGCTTATACGCCCTGGCGAGCAATTGGAAAAGTTTTTGGCGACAAACCGACATTTAAGGGCCAACTGCAGAGTAGACGTCTATCGGCCTGAATGTCTGTCTGCCGCAGAGCTCGGCTGGCCGTTTGGCCTTTTCACTGGCCGAGCGAAATCCAATTTTCCACTATAATTGAACATGTTGCGCCATAAACAATAAACAATAAACAATAAAAATGCGCGCATAAAAGTCAACGCCGAAGTGCAACAAATCTCAATTATGAGCTAGCAGCACAGCGCAAGGTGTGCGAGCGAGAGATGGCTAGATTAAAAGAGAGCATGAGAGTGAGAGTGAGTGTGAGCGTGTGCAGAAGGGAGATGGCGAGCGTGATAAAGTAACTGCAGTTCAAAGCTCAAGCGCGCCAGCGCTCCCATTCACACACACACACACACACACCAGTTCACACGGCACGCTCACTCTTCGCTGCTCGCACGCTTTTCGCTTTCGATTAAATGACTTTTAATGCGATTACGACAACAAGAACAACAGCAGCAGCAACAACAATGGTTGCTCTATTCTATGCACTTGACTGCGGCTACTGTCCCACATAAGCTGAACTAAATAAAAGTCAGTTTATAAATGATGCGTGTAGATGGCAACCGCTAATTGAATCAGTGAGCAACCAACCAGCGATAAGGTAGATAATTAACATATGCCGTTAAGAAGCAGAAACAAAGAGAGTGCGGGAGAATGGGACAGTTACAGGGAGAGCGTGCGAGCAGTGCCCACCCGCTTGGAAGTTAAGCAGCGGCTGTTGTCATGACAGCGCAGGAAAGCAGCTTCTAGTTTATGACTTGCAGACACACGCACACACACTAATACAAAAAAGAATTATATTCTTTTGCAACTGTTACTTTAGTTTTTTCTATCTATGTGTGTCTGTGTTTGTATATAAATGCCAAATTGCATTGCGCTTTGTGAATTATTACGGCCTTGCATGCACATTACTTTAGCTTTAGCATTTGTTTGACTCTCTCTCTTTCTCTCTTTTTGTCTCCCAATCTCTCTCTCGCTTTCTTTGTGGGGGTTTACAGTTCCGCGAAATCTGGCCACAATGTGTTACAAAAAAAAAAACCAAAGCAGACGCAACAAATGACAAAGCCGGATGATGCACTTTGATAAATTTAGCTGTAACGGCATCGGTGTATGTCTGTGTGTGCGTGCCTGCATATATATATATATGTTTGTATGTCTCGTATATGAGCCCAAATGTTGGCAAGTCAATTAAGATCCTTTTAGTTGGCCTACCCTCGTCACGTTCTCTGTAATGGATCGACGTTGATATCTGAAATTCCATAAAGTGCTATATTTAGACTGGACGAGCCTCTGCTTTAAGCCGTTATTCGTGTCCGATACAATCTCGAAAGTATTTTTAATTCCAAGTCTCTGTAATAAGAGCAAGCCTCAAGATATCTTAGCTTTACTTTATAAAAAAAAATCTCAAGAAATATATATATATAAACTAATTTGTCATACGGCAAAGTTTATCAAAAATCTTTCAAAATGATATCTAATTCTAATTTATATTTAATTATGAATCAAAACTTTAAGCAACCCCATATTTCAAAAGAAATTCTTATCACACTATTTACAATAGGTAATGTTTGTTATAAAAATATTTCAAAATGCTTCAATTTGATCGTTTTTTGAGGTAAAATAATAAGCTGAATAAGCCTGAATTCCACTTCGAATTTCATTTATGCTTTTTGTCTCATTAAAGTTGTTGTATGCAAAAATACTTAAATATTTTATTATATATTTTTTAAATAAATTATTTACAAATAAAAATAAGAAAACAAATTTTTAAAATGTATATAAATGTTTGTATGAGAAAGCGCT